ACACCGCTTTGCTCACAATTTGGGAACACTCTGTATTTCCTCTCTCGCGAGGTCTCTCAGCTTTCTCCTCAACACTTTGCCCACAGCATTTTTGGGTAGCTCGTCCATAAAGACCACCCCGCCTCTCAGCTGCTTATAGGATGCTACTCGAGCAGCAACGAATGCTTTAACCTCTTCCTCGCAAATCTGCTTTGGATCTGCCTGTATATAGGCTCGTGGAACTTCGCTTCCCCCCCTCTGCGGAACCCCAACGACAGCCGCTTCCTGAATATTAGGGTGGCTAAGCAATATAGCTTCGAGCTCTGCTGGGGCTATCTGTTCTCCTCTGTATTTAAAGAGTTCCTGTACGCCCCATTAGCATCGGGTTGGCAATATTGTCGTCTTGTCCTAGGCGAGGTTGTAAGAGTTGGGTTTATGTACCTTGTTTCGGTCCACAATATAGAATTTCCCATTCCCAGTCCGATCTATTGCTACGTCACCGGTACAGAACCAGTCACCAACAAAACTTTCCATCGTCGCCGTCAGGTTGTTGTAGTACCCTTCAGTCACAATCGGGCCCCTCACCCATAATTCACCCGGTTGACCCGGTTCCACATCCTGCACATGTCAGATCATTGCTCTGGCGATAGTGAAGGAAAGGAATACGATTCCGTTCTCACCTACACACCTGATGGAAGACACGTCAGCGGTGACCGATAGTGAAACATTCATGTGCACACCTACCGAACCTCTATATTTGGCAAAATCGGGCTTAGGCTTCCCGTATCATCGTATTCCCACTTTGGCATTGCAGTCACCGGCCCTGTCGTCTCGCTCAATCCCCAGGTCTGCCCGATATAAATCTTCCCAGCACCGAGTTTCACGTTCGCCGCCTTCTGCAGCTGCCCGTCCATAGGCGCCGCACCGCTCACGGCGACTTCGAGCGCTTTAAATTGGTCCTTGACTTCCGGCGATTTGGCGATGCGCAAAAAGATTGAGGGTACAGAGAGGAGCTGTGTGATTCCGTATATTTTGTTATACTCAAGAAAAAGTTGCCATTCATATTTGCGCATCCAATATACCTGAGTTCCGCTCCATAATGGCTGAATCTGATAGTTCAGAACGCCGGCGACGTGGGCTACTGGAAGATGGGCAAGCGTTCGCATTTGTATTGGCGCTGCGTTCTGCCCGTTCTTTTTTGTCCAGTCTTCCAGCTGTACCCTCGGACCCCAGATCTGTGCGACGAGGTTTCGGTGAGATAGCTTAACTCCTATTCTTTCACATTAGCTCAGACCGAGCATCATAGCAGCATGGGCGAGACCTTTCGGTAGACCAGTGGTGCCTGATGAGTATAGCAACAGGATCAAACTCCGCTTCAGCTCCACTGGATCAGTAACGCGCCTCCAAGTTAACCGCTTGGCCGAGTTACAGTCCACCCCTCCATCGAGGGATTTCAAACTCATCTCCGGATTCGACTGCAGCAGCAGAACGCTCTTTAAATTTAGTCCGCAAAGCTTCGCAGCCTTAACGCCGACGTCTTTCAAGTCCGCGCTAACAATAAGTGCTTTAGCATTCCCTTGTTTAAGCTGTCTGGCAAGCTCCGAAGCTGTAAATGCTGGATTCGCAGCCGAATAAACGCCGCCAGCTGCCATAATGCCAAAGAAAGCTGCTGAGGCCAGGATCTGGCCAGTTGTCATAACCACGACGATGTCTTTGTAGGGTCCCGAGGCGCCAATGCCATAATACATATGTAACCCATGGGCAAATTGTTCGAGGTAGCGCCTTAGATCGGCTTTGGTGAGGCGGTTTAAAGGGTTAGAGGCGTCGATATGTAAAATTTGGTCTTCTTTTGACAGAGAGTATTTGGAGTCTGAGAGACCGACGGACGTCAGTGAATATCACCCTAATCGATGGAAGGGATATTAGGAAATGGTACGGACCGAATATCAATGTCAACAGATCTATATCCGGGATGGTATAGTTCTTAAAGTTTTTGTATATACCGGTTGCTGGATCGCGGGATACACATTGAGACATGATGAAAATCGAGAAGGCTGAAGAAGCGCAAGACGTGGTGTCACGCAGTTTCGACTCTGTTGTCTCTTGTGCACGCTAATCAGAACTGAGAGTAAGTTTCACTTGGGCCAAGGTGTTCATTATCATTCTGGACTGAAAGATTCTACTGTGCTCGAAGATCTGACTTACCACACCGAGTCAATCGCCATGGGACAGTACCGAAGAACATCAGTCTAGAGTTCAACCTCGGTTTTGCTTCGGGTCCCATTGTCTGTTCAGGGTTTGACCATTCCGATTGGTGAGGGATCAAAATAGCAATAGTGAGGTATGATGCATTATCGCCTCGGCGCCGAGGACTTCGGCCATTTCCGACCGCGGCATAAACAAGTACACGTCAGAAAACAACACCTGAACTCGATTGGGAAAGGAGCAGGGATCGCATTACAGGACAACGGCAGTCGGTGCCAGCTATTTTGCAATTCGCGTTCGTTTACCCATGGTCTCAAAAGTTGCATTCCGCTGTTAGGCACCTGGTATGAGCTGCAGCGAGCCTCCTCATGGAGTTGCATGATAGCTGCGCCAAGCGATCTCTGAAGGGATCAGACTGCCGAGGTTGTTCTCTTTTCTTTCCTTGATAAAGGGTACAGCGCTGCCTGTTCCCGTCATTCTCCTGCAAGCGGTTTGTCTCCTACAGACTTGTCGCTCTGAGCAAGTCTCTTCATATTTTGTCTTCAGGCCTTGCCATCATGAAGCGCTACTTGGGTCTCACGGGCAGCAAGCTCAATGCCGCAATATGGGGGGTGTCCTGCTTTGCTGTCATGATTTTTGGCTATAATCAGGCAGCTGCCGGTGGAGTTCTCACCACTCTGGCTTTCAATGAAGAGTTCCCTAAGATGGACACTCTTAACACCACCGGCGCTCAAAAGCATCACAACTCGCTCATCCAAGGTTCGATGACTTAGCAACAGGAGCCTTCTCACTGCTAACTGAAGCTAGGGACCGTCATCGCGCTCTATACTGCGACTGGCGCCTTTGGTGCTCTCGCTTGCACCTTCCTCGGCGATGTTCTTGGACGCCGAATGACAATATTCATCGCCTGCCTTGTCCAAGCAATAGGAGCCATTATCATGTCCACATCCTTCTCCTTTGCCCAATTCATTGTCTCGAGAATCATCCTAGGCCTCGGAACAGGCGGAATCATTGCTACTGTATCAGTGTGGCAGTCTGAATTGTCCAAAGCCGACAGCCGAGGCTCCCACGTCTCTGCATTCGGGATCTTTTGTGGATTGGGTCTGTCACTTGCTTTGTGGATCGATTTTGGCTTGTCCTATACGTCTGGATCGGTATCTTGGCGCTTTCCTTTGGGATTTCCCACTATTCTATCCATCATCGTCATGGCGTTTATCTTCACGATGCCGGAGTCTCCTCGTTGGCTTTGCAAGATGGATCGTATGGCCGAGGCACAAGAGATACTGCAAATATTGCATGGTGACGATATGCACTCAGACACGATCGAAAAGGAGATTCTTGACATACAAATCTCTTTGCAAATATCAGAAGGTGCTTCTTTGATGTCGATCTTCACCATGGGTCGCCAAAGGACATTTCATCGGGTGATGCTGGCCATTTTGGTCCAGATCTTCCTCCAGATGACCGGTGTCACCTCCATCACGTACTATGCTTCCTCCATTTACGAATCCGACCTCTATTTCACTGCCACCAAGGCCAAAATTCTCGCCGCTGCATCCCAAGCCGTTATCGGCCTCGGCGCCGTTGCCTGCTCGTTCACCGTCGATCGCTTTGGCCGTCGCAAATTGATGCTCTTCAGCGCTATGGGCATGTCTATCTGCATGGCCTGCCTGACAGGTCTCGTATCCAACCCCAACAACAAGGGTGCCCTCAAAGGCGCCGTCTTCTTCCTCTACCTCTACTTCTTCGTCTACGCCAGCGGCTTCCTAGGCATCCCCTTCCTCTACGCCAGTGAGATCGCACCTGTTCACCTCCGTGCCGGCGTCTGTGGTATCTCGACCGCAGCATCGTGGCTGTTCAACTTTTTGGTTGTGGAAGTCACTCCCGTCGCCTTCACGGATATCTCGTACCGGTATTTCATCGTCTACTGCACCATCAATGCAGCCATCGTCCCTGGCATATATTTCTTCTTCCCGGAGACTGCAGGCCGTTCGTTGGAAGAGATGGAGGAGATCTTCAAGGCGTCGCACTCCATCTGGGATCCTGTTCTTGTGGCGCGGCGGTTGCCAAAGAAGCGCCTTGCAGAATTTATTAAGGAAGAAGGAGAAACCGAGCCGAAGATTGCAGCATGAGCATATGGAGAACAGTGGAGAGGCTTAGAGGGAGCGCTAGTTATCTTGCTATTCGCTGATTGAGGTTGTGTAAGCGCGGAAGCTCGATTGCCGAATCTAGCGAAGCATCTTGCTCAGCTATAGCTTGCCTTATTCAAGCGAATCTCAAAAAGTAGTGTACGAACCTCACATTTTGGCGATTAGCGGGGCGAGATGAGCAGAAGTAAATTCAACTATTTCATCTTTCACGGTCTCCTTCCGCATATCCAACCTCTTCCGGGGAATTTCACGAGTATGGCGAGAGGGCCACAGAGGGCTCGTGAACATTAGCGTACGCACCCCAGTAAACCGTGACTTTAGATTACTCGATATCGGTGTAGCTCGAGGCGGAAGCTAAAAGAGTCGAATGAATGTGACACCTGCTAAGCAGGAACTAAAGTGGCCGTGTAAAAGTGCTTCCCGCCGGGCCGAAGGTTATTTACGCCTTCTTTGATACTTGATCGCCTCCTCACAGTTCATGAAACGATTGGTCCAAAGTCGAATCTGGCTCATTATCCGTTCAGTTGACTCCAGATGGCGATCCCTACCAAAGAGTGTATTAACGAACTCCATTGCTCCGTCCTTGCCCATCTTGCCTGTGCCGTGACGATTTGTACGCTTCAGCATAGGTCTTTCGCAAACTCTGATGAGATTTTTGAACTTGTTTCACAGCAAATAACTTCTTTCAAGGAAGGACTCGACATCCTCAAGTTCGTTGAGCGTAGGGATGTGACCGACACACTCTTCGGCTTTTTTCATCTTGCCCGCAAGTTTGATTAGGAGTAGCCACAACTCCCCCGCCATATCAGCCATTGGTGTAGAGGCGCCGAAATGGACTACCGTCCAGTCATAGATCCACTTGCCTAGCGAGTTGGCGTCGAAGACACTTCCCAATAGAATAACAGGCAGCTCCATGGGATCCCAGTGCTTGACGGAATACCCTGCGGGAATTCCGGCCCGGACAGCATCTGCTTCCGTGGCGGGCGTTGTTGGTGAAGACTGCGGAGAGTGGGAAGTGCTGTATCGATATAATTGCTCATCGATAGTATCCTCGCGTTCATGACGAGGGCCTGACATCGTACGAAAGTCAACCCTTCGATGTCCGTAGCCGTTCCTACGAGCTTCATCGTCGTCATCGTCGTCATCGTCGTCATCGTCGTCATCGTAGATATGGACATAATTCTTCGACCGAGGAGGTGAGGTGTATCCCAAGCCGTGAAATCCGTCGTTACTATCTGGATCACCGGCTCCGTCCTTAGATTGATATGCAAACGTCCTCTCTCTTTTCATACCACAAGTTTCAGGCGGAGGCGAGGACTCTAGTCTGAATAGCCTTTCTTTGTCTTTAGCCAAGAAAGAGTTGTGAGTCGTCCGATAGGGGTCCGGTGTCTCGTTCTCTTGTGGATGGCGGGCATGGCACGAGGTAAAGTAGAAAGTGCCATGCAATATCACGTTGGGACAGCAATTCATACTGGTCGAGTATGCTTGAACGTCGTTACAAGACAGCACAAAAGGCTAGCTGCTATTGTTGTCGAACAATTTTGGTAGCACGTGGCAGGCCCAAGTAAATTGAAAAGAGATTTCGAAAGCTTGAAGGCAAGGCGAGGAGAAAACCAGCTGGCGTATTCTCCACGAGTCACTTTTGATCCCTCCCAACCTCTTCCATTTTATACTCCTGGGTGCGCGGCCTAAACCACCAGCTTAGATAGGTTGTGTTACATCCAAAACGCTAGCACGATCTGTTGATTCGATGCGGATGTAGGCAAATGAGTAGGGTCAAAGTATTCTGTCTGTGACAGCGACGCCAGGACCTACAGGTCATCTTCTCTCCCATTGCTATCGGGTAACCTAACCAGGGCCGAGTCTTGGAGTCCGAGATCCAACTCTTTGAACTGCCTAGTTGGCATTTGAAACCATTGCAGTTGCCATGAGGGTGTACTGAATGGCGACATTATGTTCTCACGCAGCCATCTCAGTCTTGTAATTAGCTGCGCATTATCGGCATCTGCCAGGAGGTACGGAGCAGCTACCCGAAAAAGGTAAGTGATTTTACATTAGCCGGTGTCACGATGCCATACCATTGTCTGTTGTCTCGTTTTCGTGAACATCAATATGATCACAAGGCATAGACAGCATTTTCTCCGGATTTGTATTTTGATTGCCATAGAGCTACGTGGAGACCCATCCAAAAAGTATGTCACGAATAAAGAAGACATCTTTGCGAACCGCTTTCAGGATGACATCTTAAGCTCAGGCTTGTTGTATCGATTGTATCGTGGCGGAGGGCTGTCGTCAATGACTTTGGGCTGAAGAGGAATTTCGAACTTCGCACGGACGCATGTACGGCCTGCCCGGCATAATTGCGCTTTGGGAGCTCGAGAACTTTCCACTTTGCTAGGGCTTCGAAACTCTCTGACCTGTTTCGCACCAGCCTCTACATCGCGTCGAAGGTTTTCCCTGATCTCTTCATATAATTGTCCTTTTGACTCAATTTCATCTTCGTGATCCCGCCTGATTCCATGCTGAGTAAAAGGGTTCATATTATCATTGACCCATCTCCATCCCTGTACATATTCCCAAATCCGCAACAGACGTGGATTATCTGCTGATCTACAGGATTAGATGATGCCATAGCCAATTTGTGAACAGCTAACCTGGCCATAAATGTGCCTCCTTCTTGTGTGATCACTTCATAGTCAAGTTTATGGTGCCCATGAAGTCGGGATGGGTTCTCGCTTGGTCGTGTCATGGTTGCCATTGAAGAAAGTTCGGCTGAGAACATAAGAGGAAAAGTCTGCAATATAGTCAGCAGCAGACTGCTCAATTGCACTGTAGAGCAAAAAGGTCTACCCACAGGATTATATGACTTCGTTCAAGGCTGTGTGGCTGGAATTTGACGACCAAGAAACCCTCCAAAACCGGATGCCAATCAAAATGCGACGTAGGAAAATCTCGAAGGTGGGATGTGACCGGAAAGGTTCGAAGAGGAGGAGACAGCTTCACGACTCTGGCTCCAGAGGGCAAGGAAGCGTCGCGCGTCTACGAAGCTGAAACCATCCCTGCATAACTGGGAAGATACCAGCCAGGAATAAAAGGCCAGGCAGATCATTGGATGGTACGGCTACGTTAGCGTGGAGAACTTTTGCAGTTCTTGCCGGACTTATTGGGCCTTAGATACTGTAGCCTCACGTTTGAGGAGGCTGGTTATCTTGAGGCCTGTGTGGAACTTCCGGGTGTTTACCACCCTGGTAGAAGCTGGTGTTGCTCCCCTCCTCTACATTTAGAAAAAGCTTGGACCATTTCTTCAGATTACATCGTGGAGCTCACATTTAAGAAACTGGACGTGAGTAGAGAATCGCGTAACTCTGATAGGAAATCGGTCGCCTCTTTTCGGGCTGTTAAAGATCAAAAACACTTGAGTTAGGTAGTCGCCTGTATTGTTGTGTTATCTTCTCGCCGTATACTACGCAGAAAAGTATACAGATAGCCTGATATAAAAGATCTCAACGACTTATTTTGCCAACTCCTAGGCAGCTCTCCTCTCCAAGATATACCGCAGTATTCTAGCAATTTGATTTCAAAGCCTTAGACTAGCTAACTCTTATTAGACGGAATGCAACCACTAGGCAATGTGACTGTCGAGGGTTCAATGTGTTGTATCGTCGAGTCTGTCCTCAATGACTGGGAGGCTGTTTTCTATGTAAAAAGGAGTGAAAATTCCTCCTTCAGTTGATCGCCGCATCAAACGAGCGCCTCTGAAATAGGCCTAGGGAGTAAAAATGAGCGTCTAAATGGCGTTGTAAAAGGAGCAACTTGAGCCTATTACTAGGTCTCGACTTGTATGTAACAATTGTTACAACATGCACTTTGAATATGTTCCAACGCCGATCACATCATCCGTCATTTCGCCTCGTCCTAGTGGACTTCTTTGCCTCATTCGGGTTGTATACTGTTTGTCAATGGTCAAGGTAGACCTTTGCGTCGAAGGGCTGCCGTGACACATCGTTGGAGGGGCGTATCGCAGTCAATCGTTTCGTCGTCTGCGAGAGGGGAAACTGAGCTTGACAAGATACTGGTGTTGCAGAGAGAGAGAGAGCGGGTCTGTGCCCGAGTTTTCGAAAAACTTTTGTCGTTCTTTGCCCCGAGGTTGTCATCGCGATCAGGCTGGACGACTTGCCAGCTGCAAATAGGCTTCAATCGGCTCAAATGTTTGATGAGCGGTGTCATCGTCCACTTGCAAAAGGATCGGAAGAGTTCACTGACTTTGAAGTTAGATCATCACATTTCAAACTTGTCTCCTAATCCCCACCTGAAGCTAAACAACAACTCCATCAAGCGATCTGGTGTGCTTCTAAGAAGATGATGGGCAGAGCGATCGGGTTGATGTCGAGAGCGGCTGAAGACAACACTCTCATATAAGGGAAAGACACGCGTCACAACGAGTGGCCTTATGACTACTCTCATGTGTCAGTGAGTCGGGGATGAACCTATCCATGCACATAGTTGAGGTGATTGAGCTGCAGCGGGAGGAAGCTAAGAGACAACAGTGGTGTCTCAGACTCGCATTCATTTGTTCGCGTCGCCACCGAGGGTGCGACACGGAGTGAACCATGCTTCATCTGACATACTTTAAAGCCATGTTATAGGCATACACGGCCATCTAAACGTCCGCAATGTAATTAGGTTTTCTATGGTCAAAATCTGGCTCCTGTCTTCCTCTGGTTCCACGAGGTCTCGCGCTTCCGGTTTGGAGTATTAATTCCTCAAGATTATCGCACTGTATAGGAGTTGTTATTGGCACATCATTTCTACTGATGTCAAATTGGAGGCAGTTCAGCGATCGTGGAAACGGTCACGCGAGCTGAATGAATTGATGAGCTGAAACAAAGAGAGCAGCGCAGCTCCCTATTCCGGTGTCAAGCAAGTGACATCTTGCACATCGTTATGAGCTTGGGTATACGTACTTTGCCCCTTTTAAGAGACGTGGGATTGCTTAGATAGAAATATTCAATATGTACTTTTCTAGTTGAGCTGGACACATCGTTCTGTTACTTGTATCTCGTAAAGTCGTAGTCTATTGTATTCCACAATCACCACATAGTGGCGGGGACTTCCAGCCCATATCTTCTGATAAGATGTTTGAAGGGTTTTCATCGATGAACAACTGATAATCATCATTGAGCCCAGCTTCGTTTACTGGAGACATCTGCCTACCAGCAATACAATCAAATTGGGCTTCCCCTTTGTGGCACTGATCCATTTCGAGTGATGCTTCCGGAAAGCTTGGCAAAACAATCGGTGGACAAGAACTTGTTCCGTACCGTGGAGAGTCAAGACTCTCGCCGTTTTTCCCTTGCGGATAATGGACCCTCTGAACTGGGCCTGCCATGCCTAGGTTAATCGATAGAAAGGAGAGAGATCGGCTCCTGTCACTTGGACAAGAGGAGGAGGAGTCGTGATGAGCGTCTTCTGAGCCCGCAACCAATTCATGCTTGAGAAGATTAGATATCTGATTTTGCGGCGTGACAAGGTAACGGCTAGCGTGAAAGTAACTCGGACTGCGACCGCGAACAGTCACTGGATGAGACTCCTTTGTCGCGATGGTGACCCAACCCTCTCGATCCCTTGAAAGATTGGCAGAGACCTTAACCACAAGAGAAAACCGTTCCGGTTCTCTCAATCGTCCTTTAAATGATGCATTCTGGAAGTGAACTCTCTCGAAGGTGCAGCTAATTGATGTTGAGGCAGTGCGTGAGTTCTCACAATAATCGTGAAGAGTGAAAACCTTTTGGCGAGGTACAGTACTGCTGTTCTTGTGGCGAGTTGTAGTCGGATAGTGAAGTAACGAAGCGCTATCGCCCCCTTTCTCTGTTCTGGCAAAAATAGACAATCCAAACTGGTGAATCGTGCCCTTGGAAGTAAAGAGGGAGCCATCAGTGTCAATGAGTTCCCAACAGAAAGAGCAACAAATAGTGATATGATTCTGCTTGTAGCAAATCCACATATTCTTCTCATTGATAAAGCTCTTGCTTGTGACGGCGGTGAGTTCTGAGACAGACTGTTGATGTTTTCCATTTAGTATTGGAAGTAGTGCGGATGTGGGATAGAATGGCAATGCTTCGAAAGTGTGCGCCATTGTTGTCATCGTCCAAGGGATCGGAAGTAAGCTGAGAGCGTAAACGAGATACTTTGAAATGGAACGACTATTTTGAGTCCGAAAAATCAAGACTGTAAGGGTTCATTTAACAATTAATCAAACAACCATCGTGGCATCCTTGCCTTAATATACTTTGCATCGATCCGGGCAGATTCTATTGGGCGCGGTGTAGAGCTGTGTTGGCTATTCCTACAATTGTTGAGAGCCATTAAAGCTATCGTACAAGTCAACAGCTGAAGTAGCTGATGTCGCGAGGCGTCACCTTGCCTCTGCAACCCCAGAAACGTCTCATCCTGCTATAAATAGGAGGCCACTACGCATTGGCCTTGGCAAGGCGAAATCGTCAGTAACAGACCTGACTGGCCTCCTAGACTAAACCCAGGTGAACAAATAATAGTAAGTCTCCTCTGAGACGCGAGGCACTAGGCAATCAAATCAAAAGCAAATAGTTGGAAGTGAAGAATTTTGCGACAGCGTGCTATCACAGTGAGTAGACCGCTTAGCACGGTAAAGTTAAATATGTCAAAGCACCTAACAGCGGCTTCGTTTGTATCCGGTATGAAGAGGCTGGTTCTCGCAGACCGGTAACAGCCACCCGTTGCTATCGAAGTACCCTGCCGGCTGCCCTCAGATAACAGAGATGCAGACGCAAACAGTGACTTAGGATTGTCTCAACTTTGGGAGAATGCCATCGTTTTGTTGGACCATCTCTTTGATTGTATTTGGGATATTCCAACGTGAAACATGAGGTTTGATGGAAATCGAAAGTACTGTCCGGCTTCCAGAAGATTCAGAAGGGCTAGCGATGTGGATCTCTAACCTGTTGGAACGGAAGCGACATGCCTGACAGCACAGGGCGGGGCTCTAGTACGATTTGTTTCTTCCCAGGATGCTCTATCAGTAGCGCGTTGGTAGAACAGTCTCGATCACAATGTTACACTTTGCGCTTCACTAAAGCCTGGTAATGCACAGAGCTCTACTTGACATACGATCACAATGCCCAGAAAGTCGCGCCCTTGGATGAGAGTCTGACAATATGTGGCACACCAGCCTGAAAGCTAACGAATAGTGGTCCACATGGTTGCCTGTTGACGACCTCTGTGATGGCCGCCCTTGAAAGTTTGATTGGTGTGCATGAATTGTTCGTAGCAAGCCTTATATCTTGACTGCCACCTGTCACACGAGCCTTGAATTCTTATTTGTCCAACCTCTATCTACACGAATATAGCACTTGGTTTGTCCGAAGCTCTAGCCTGCGTCTGAGGCACGAGCTCGGGGTTTGATTTTCACGCCAGCCATAACATTAGGAGGGTGGTTGGAAGAAGTATGGCTAGATTGCTTCCACTAGTCCGTACCCTTATATTCATGAGGTGTCTTCTCGTAAGCTCTTTGCTTCTTGTCTCCTCTCAATGTATTATTGGGTGGCACATTGCATTTCGAGACATTCCATTCGAATGGAGAATACGCAACAAGGAAGATCGTCAACACCAAGATTAATTCGAGAGGACGCAGCCTCAACCAAAGAGTGTTGGGGAGGCAAGAAATGTCAGAAATGTGGGAAACATGCCCACACCTACCTGTGAGTCAACTCTCTTGAATGAATAGTTATCCTAACGAAACCTAGTTCAGACGAGGGCTCGGCGACAGAGAAGAACGGGGATAAAAAGATCCCGAAATCGTCTTATGAAAACAAATGAAGCTATTCATATACTTCTCAAAGGTTAGCAAGACCCAAGATCGATGGTTGATACAGTGGTCTATAGTTGTTAGAAATAGTACAACATCCAAGTGACTGCGAGATGCGAGAGAGAAGGTTGTCTGCTAGTCTTGTTTTGCTGGAGTTCGAAATTGGTTCGCGCATATGATGTGTTGTTCAAACACCGCTGCACCTTGGATCGAGAATACGAGTCGCTCGAGCATCGTCAAAGGTTCGATGGACATAGGTTTTCAACTATGCGTTTTGCACGCTGACGCCTAGTCTCCTGAATTTGTTTGCCACTTGTCTCTTTCTTTTCGGGTTTGCCACGACGTCGTTACCCATTTTTAGCTGCTCCAACTCAACCCTCCTTCGCCTTGCTTCTTTTTCTTTCGTTTCTTCTATTTAATTGAACCTGCTTTCGCTTGCTCTCTTGCATTTTCCGAACAATATTCAGCGTCATCATCGCTTCCCGTTGCATTTGGGAGACGCGGGGCTCTTTCCGGCGATGAGGTCATTGATGAATGCGAGGTCCAACTGCGACCGTCTATTTCCAAGTATCTCCAGATGCCTGCGTGCAAACATCACATACAGAAAGTGAGTGGTCCTCTTCCAATCGGACCCTACGCGACTTGCTAATTGATTTCTGAGTTCTCCACAGGTTCCCGCGCTTGTTCGTACGCTGCCGCAATTCGATCGGTCAAACAGATTGCGGTCTGAAGAGTTGGCTCCAGCTCCTGCCAACTTATAGCCTCCGCCAACTGAATCTGATCGCTTAGCAGTGCGCGAAGAGACAGCTCGCCCAAACATAGATCTCCACCTTCTGGGAGCGAAAGTTCTACCATCAGCGCCCAGCATACACAAGCACGAGGAGAACGAGATCCAATGGTTCAATTGTTTCTGTGTCCACAATTGATGGTGGCAACCAGAGAACGAGGCTTCTCACAACGTGAATTTGGCCAAAAAACTCGTGGTGAGCATTGGAGAGGCGTGAAAGACCTTGAGAAAGGGCGGACAAGTCTAAAGTACGGATTTCCAGAAGCGGTTGGTGATCCTGGAAGTTCTGTTCGATGGATTGTAAACTTGATTCCATATCCCTAATAGACCGTATTCTCAAAGACTCATCCGACGGTCCGCTCTCCTCGAATCGCGAACGCAGTTCACTTAGAACGCGGAGAAGTCTCACTCGATATTCACTAACAAGTGCGGGCTGTGGTGTTCGCACCAATCCAGCCACACCATGGTGATGGGCAAGCGGTGACTCGTGGGCCCATGGTTTCATGACCTCTCGAACCTGATGACTCGTTAGCGATGTCACAGAATCCTTATCATCAACGTACATTCGACAGTCCCTTTCGTAGCTGTTGCCAACTCAACCTAAATTCGTGTGAGAGTCGCTTTTGCCTGGAGCTGCACCACCTTACCTGTTCGGAGCTTGCCAAAGTAAAAGAGTCGTAGCTGCCAGGACAACTTCTGAGTTCTCGCTTGAAACGACTTCGATACCTTGTAATCCAGAATAAGCCAGTGCTTGATAGTGTCGAGCTATGGCTGCAGTCTTTCCCCCATTTTCCCAGCCAAGGTGAGACTCAGAAAACCCCAGCAAAGAGTACTGCCCAAATGCTTCCGTCGGAGCTATTTTAAGGCATCTGTGCGCCATGTTAGAGTCCAACAACGTAACAGCGCCAGGATTGTCTAACATTGGTAAGATTCGCCCCCATATAGCATACTCATTCTTCGATAGTTTAAGCGCATGCTCTAGAAGACACGCTTCACTACTCGGAATTTTCTGCGACAATGTGACAGATTGGGTGACCTCAGATTTAGTTTCGTCGACCGGAGAACTCGGTGATGTGTCGTCTGATTGTCTCTCGGATGTGTTCACTGCTTTGTCTAAGTAGGAGCATCGCTTGCCGCTCTTAATACATCTGCCGCATTGAGGAGATGTCTCGTCGCAGCGTACATGGCTCAACTTGCAGTTTAAGCAGCCATTGCGTGACCTTGAGTACTTCGCTCTTCTCATCTCGACGAGCATCAGCGTGCCTTGTGTTAAAGAGATTTGAGAGATCAGTTTACGGCGCTCAGGTTTTTTTTTGCATTTAAAGAAAAGATTCGCAACAAAAAAGACCAAGGTGCTTCTGATCTCAAAGGATGAAGCATATTGCCTCTTCTTGATCCGCTGGACTGGTCAGCGCTGGCAGCCTCCATGCCTCACGATCGAGCTAGGACCTTCTCATAACAGGGCCCCGCAGTTTTGGAATGCTCCTGCTCCTGGAGGACCAGGTCCGTTTCGAAACCGAGACTATACAGTCCGTTCTTGGGTACCTAGTCCGGGAGTTCTGACGTGGTGGGAGAATCGAGAAGGAAATCTGTCTCATGTGCTTGGCTGGCCCGGCGTTGCGAGGCTTGAATCAGGATGGGAGAAGGATATTTGGAGGTGGTGGGCAGTGTGGGAGGATGTCGAAGATCGACTCGATTCCTCCCAACTCTAGGTCCAGCTAAGTCTGGTTCTTCGAACCTATCAATCCATAGGGTACATAGCAAGAACAGGGCAGGGTAGTCTGAATTCCAACGTCCTCAAAATCCATGAACCATGCATCAGAAATATAATATCACGCCTCTGAAACACCAACGCAGTGCGAGTGCTATTGTGAAAAGGGCGGGTGAACGCAGCATAGCGCTACAAGATCAAAAAGTTAGGACTTGAAATCGAGGAGAAAATACGGTACATGTGAGCTAGAGTACAAAGGTGCGGTACTTTGGCGCTTAACGTCATCATCTGGCAGTATCGGCATGCCACAGTGCTTGTGTTGATGTAACAAAGCCAGAAACCATGTAATATTTCGAGTCAGGGACTTTTGTCTCGTTTATTCGAAATTTCTTTCACGACAAACATGACAGTATCCTCCTTCCCTGTTCCAGTCTACACAGCAGGCAGCAGAGCTTCTGAACTAGTCTCAAAACGATAGAGGAAGGAACGCACAACTAGATTCTAGCTTCGTGATAGATATCTGAAACCTCTGGGATGCCTTAACTTACCCTTGAACATTCTAGTATTTGCTCGTAGGATGCGATATAGTCTTTGAGCCAATCTATCGTTTCGGCGTTTGGAGGACCTCTTTATTGTAAACGACTGTATAGCTTTCCCAGGTTGCAGATGACTCTTTAAGCCCCATGGTGAGGATTCCGAACTCTCATGAGCAAATACCGCAATTTGCCAGACGTGCGGACCAAGTTCGCCATCCCACAGCCCATCACTTGTAGGATTATTTGCTTGAAAGCCGTAGTGTCTTAAGACACACTCCGGGTGGGTTTCTCCAAGCCAGGTGACATCGAAAATGGTCTCGTTGTCGATGTCGGATTCACGTGCTGACAATTCAAATGTGAGGTTCGAGAACTTTTCCATCTCCGAGTGCGCCGAATACCTCGACTTCATACAGCCAATCAACTGGCTCATGAATGCGTGCTTAGTGTACATTTCGTTCGCGACCGAGATCCGGAAGCCTGTGCCGTATTGAGTCCAACTGACCTGGTTTTGAGAGTTTTGTGTGCCGAAGAATAACTTGACGTCCATCAGGACTTGAGTTGACATGAAGTACGATTCGCAGTTAAGGCCAAAGTTGCAACATTGCTCCTCGATTCCAGCCAAGGGTGGCACT